ATTTAACCTACAGAGGTTTACAAAACCCCATAGTTTGTGTATTTGGCCTCCTCACTGCATTCACAAGAAAATATTCTTTTTTAGTGGCTGGGTAATTTTGGAGTAGAGGGTTTGGTGTGGGTCTTCCTTAGGGGATGTGTGCATGTGTACTTTTTTCCAAGTTCTAGTATTACTTATGAAATGACATTGTCATACAAACTGCCTGCAAAACCTGCCTGACATCTCATTCTCCATGCTTGTGCACTGCTTTCCCTCTTTTATTTGAGTAGATGTGATAGTCTATTTCAATTTTAAACTCAAGCTGAAAGGGTCACAATTCTGAATTTGGTCACTGTCTGATAGCTTGTTATGAGGAAAAAAAGGAGTTGTACCAGTGTACACTTCTTTACTATTACTGGTGCCTTAAATAATAACCAGCTAATCATGGTTTTATAAACCCCTTAATAACTGTGCTACTCATTAGCAGTAAACCCCTTATTTTATTGATTTTTGATGCTGTATCTTCCTGGGAACTTAAATTTCTGACTGCAAATCCTTTCACTGTTATAATTACTATTGAAGTATCTTGCAAAACGAGAATGAACACATTCAAAGAAAACGTAAGCCTTGGAGAAAACAGCCACTTGCTTTTGTGAGAGAGCTACACCAGGTTTAGGTTACATGTGGCAGTTATAATTCACTATCCTCACAGACTATCCCATAAAATCCAATACACATTTAAGCAAAAAGGCTTCTACAGGAGCTAATAAGACAGTGTTCTAAGTTATTTCTCCAGTAATAGCCTTCTAATAGACCTCTACAGGGCTGTAAAACTACTTTTAAAGTACATGGCACTTGCAGTTCCATATTTCCCATTCAAAGCAGGAGGGTATGACTGTGACTTAAAAGATTGAAACGTTCAGCCACATGACAATTTTGTGAAAGCAAAGCCAAACTTTATACCGAGTCATTTTCAAGCAGGAAGAAGCAGCACTCAATCAAGTGCTAAGTACTACTGACAGCTCACACCACACATGAGGAGAAATGCATTCAGACAAAGTTTGCCCACCATTAGACACAGCAATTTCAATACCATGGCTCTGAAATACCTTCATTGTTTTCAGATCCCACAACAAATCTCTTCAAGTAAACAAACTTCTACTCACCTACACAGACCAGTCACTCCTAGAGAAAATGGAATGTGAACTTGGAAACCTGATAATGGTTTTAGTACATCCAAGCAGGTTTCTTGATCCTGATGATCAGTTCCTCACCAGCTGACTTCCAACTACTTGTAATTGTAAAGATGGACGCTGGATGCTGATCCCTTGATGACACCACTCTGGAATTCCAGAGCCTGCCCAGGTAAAAACATTGAAATAGGGTGCATCAAATGAACAAGGGAGGTGATTCTCCCTCTCTGCTTCACTCTCCTGAGAACCCATCTGGACTACTGTGTCCACCTGTGGGGCCTACAGTGTCAGAAAACACATGGACCTGTTGGAGCAAGTCCAGAGGACCACAGAGATGATGAAAAGGATGGAGCAGCTCTTCTATGTAGACAAGCTGAGAAAGTTGGAGTCGTTCAGAAAAGGCTCTAAGGAGACTTTACTGCATCGTTTCAATACTGAAAGGGACCCTTAAAAAAAAAAAGTGTAGCGAAATATACTTTTTTTCTTTTTTTTTACCAAGGTCTGTAGTGACAGGACAAGGGGTAATGACCTTTACCTGAAAGAAAGTTTATATTGGATATAAGAAAGAATTTTTCAATTATGAGAATAGTGAAATACTGGAACAGATTGTCCAGAGAAGTTATGGATGACTCATCCCTAGAAGTGTTCTCAATCCCTCAAAGTGTTCAAGGCCAGGCTGGATGGATTTGACCAACCAGGTCTAGTGGAAGGTGTCCCTGTCCATGGCAGAGTGATTGGAACTAAATGATCCAATAATTTCTTTTCTCACCCAAACCATTTTGAGAGTCTGTGGTTCTACAAAATTCTCCTCTAATTGCACATGCTCAAGGCATACAATTTATATTTTACCAGTGGAAACATTTTTTTAATGCACTGAAAAATTAGGTATCTCTTGTCTGAAAAACACAGGCAAATCAATATGAGAGGACCCTTTAAGCTACACTATCAAGTGCTATAAATAACTATTACTATACTTCAACAGTCACTATGTTGTGCACATATATTATCACATTTACTCACTCGGTTTCTAATACCCATGTGACAGCAGGCATATAAAAGCATATTCTTTCAATGAATGGGAGAGTGCAGACAGTTTGCCTAACTACTAAAAAGAAATGTATTATTAGTAGGTTTTAGAAAGATGCATTATTTCATATATATTTTTTAAGGCAATAAATCCTAAAGATATGAATGAATCTGACAGAAAAATGAACTGTATCCATTATCAAAAATTACTCTGTCATAGTCACTGCAGCCAATTGCTAGGACCTTGGTCATAACACTACTTTGCTCAAATGCACTAAACAACGCAGTCAAGTGAAACAGGAAAGAATTAAAAGAAAGGTCCCAGAGGTTCCATAAGGACTCAAGAGATTCCATGTGGCAACACTACAACTTTCTAATATGGGAAACTGAGATGCAGTATCCTAGCAAGTTTTTTAATTAATTAATTACGAATTTTGTATGCAACAATGAAGCAACTCAACACAAAATATGTACAACATCAAACAATCAGTGCATCTCATTTATGCATTGTAAATAGTCCGGTTCTTTTCAGAAACTTGTCACAGGATTTTTAACTTGCTTTGTTTTTAAAGGAAAATCCTGCATTATCTAGGCATCTGAGAAACCAGGAAAGAAAAAAGGGTCCTACCAAAATATACCAACAGGATTTCAGAGTAATCATAAATTGCTATCATAAATACATGATGAGTTACCGGATAGCCATTTCGCCCTGGTGGACCCTGGTTGAATGAGATGAAATGGTATGACACATTAACAACACAATCATGACATATGACACAACAAACATAAAGAGTACATTACCAGGTAATTATAATTTGTGCATTGCTTGACTATTTTGCACATGATGATATTTCAAACCAAGAAATATGAGATGGGTACTACACAGTGAGGAAACGAGGCCTAGGCAATGTGTTTCAACTTATATAAACCCTCTCATTAAAAAGCTTCTGGATACTTCTAATGCCCAGTGAAATTCTGTTTTTTTAATTAAGAGAATTATCCATGTAACTGACAGGCAGTATGTAGTTAATAAAAAAAAGATTTTGTGCTTAGGCAGTAAAGTATTAGATTTCACTAGAACATAGATGGCAAAGAAGAAATCAGAGATTGCTGTTAAAGATCATAAAAAATTTAAAAACCCCCAGCCTCTGACTGTTCTACATGTGTCACTCAGTACACTCATGTATAAGGAAAATAAACAGAGTATTGTGGCAGCCTTTGAAAGTACAACATACATCTAATTCTCCACTTTCATGCAGGATATATAAATATTTGATATTTTAATTGAAAACTATTACCACAGTCTCCCAGGTGAAAACAATACTTAAGTTCACAACAGCTGCCCCTAGACAGTATCTATGCAAATACAGAAATTAATTAGGAAGAGAAACTATACTTTTTTATGTCTTGTAACAACTTAAACCATTGCTGCCTGTCAGCAAGATAAAGTTTTGTAGGTTCCAAGTAGGAAACTTGGAATTTGAAGTCAGATACTTCTTAAAATTATTCAGTTTTGGAATCCATTTCAGGTTTGTGCTAATATTGCCAAGATTACAACTTATTTTTGGGGGGATTGTTTGTTTGTTTGTTTAGGTTTTTTAATGCACCTATACTGAAACAATGGGGAGCTAAAGTCAGAGACATTCTTACTGAGGCATATAGTGAACACTTGCCACCTTGCCTTGGTACAAGAAAATTGCTTGTATTGTGATTTATGTTTGCTCTTTCTGTTTCATAGGAGGACTGCAAAAGAAATCAGGGAAAACAGTGTTTCTTTCAAATAAATAGCACCTTTACACATTAAGCCTGGCTTTTCATTGATGGCTTATTAAATGAATTTGTCACTATGAATTCCTGAGCACATGGTCAAAGTCTTACAAGGGTAAGTAATATCACAACTCAATATATGCAGTTTACAGTAAAACTTTTAGGTCACAGCAGGAATTCAACATATTAATTAAATATTCTTAAACATGCATGCAGCAGAGAATAGACAGATGATAGGGTCTTGAAAATACTGTGGAAGTATTACATCTATTAAAGAAAAAAAATAGAAGTGTTCAAACTGTAAAAGAAATGCTATTCTAACAGTCACATTCCTATGATTTACATGGATGGCATGACAGATACAAAGGTTTGAGACATATGTGCTTAGTCCTGTCCTTCAAGTCAGACCTTTTGATCTACTCAGCGAATATACAAAAGAACAAACAAAAGACATGCAAAAAACAAAACAACCTCAAAACCTCAGAAGAAAGAAAACATTTTCTCACAAGAAGAATTGGCATAAGATTCAATCAACTTACTAAATGGAATAGCACTATTTAATAATAATTTTACACAGCACTTATTTGCTTTAGTAGTAATTACAGTGAAATGAGCTGAACAGCCTCCATGCCTCCAAAGAACAGGAAGCTTGTACCCCATGACTATGTGATAAATGCAGAGGAAGTTACTACCCAGCAAAAGTGGCCAGGTCTGGGCTTAAGATACTCACACACTTTTATACTTCAATAAAGTATCTGTTTCGAAGTCACTGGCAAAATGAACATAACATACTTACATGGAGTTGTGAATCCAAATGGGAATCTGGAGCGCTGAACATAAAGCTGTATTGGTTTAGAAACTTTTTTCTTAACAAACTTTCTGATTAAATTATTCAGCTCCAAGATACTGTGTATGTATAAATATCAAAATTCCCTCTTGAGTATACATGATCATTTTATCACACTGATAACTTAACAGGATCTAACAGATTTCTCCCTGATTCTGGAAGAACCAACAATGTATCACTGTACTTACAGGAGGTCCTGTGGAGTGGGGGAGAGGGGGGGAAAAAAGGGTAAAAAAAGAGAAAAAAGAACACGTAAGCATATGAAGTTACTGCAGAAAGACATACACAGTCAAGCACAAGGCCTTGGGATTGTCAGTGAGCAGCACTGGCAATACAGGGCACACATTTTCCCGCTTAAGTAGTCTTGTGCTTTGGTAGTGCTCTGAAACTCATAAATATGACTACTCCTAACTGCATGCACTTACCTTAACAAATCTTCAATTACAGTCATGCAATCTTATGAAAGTTGCTTTTCCATTTATTTTCATGCAATTTCATGCCAGTCCAAAAATACCAGCCATGGATACAATTCATTTGTCAGGCTCCACATAAAGCATTTGTAACCACATCACCAGTTTCAGTTAACCACACAGGGACCACTGGATCAGAGCCTGGCTGCAGAAATGCACAAAGTACCCTTGGCATTTAACCTGGGCATCTTGTCAAGAATACGTGTACCAGCATCTTCCAGACTTCCAACTTTGCCTGTAAGGGGAGGTTTCAGTGGCCACCTGATAGGGCTGAACTTTATTTTCATCACCTTCCTCTCTCAAGGCACACATATAAAATGCTCCTCATTAAAATGTCACACTTTGTGAAGTGATATTTGCACATTTTTTCAATTATTTAGACCTCAAAGACTTTTGTGTAGCAGTTCTTGGAAACATTATCAAGGGGCCACAAATCAAATCTATTATTTCAATCTTATTAAGGTGAGCAGCTGCAGCTCCCAAATCAATGGCATTTCATTAAGCTTTTATGCCTCTCCCTAATTTCTGAATAAAGTGAAGTGCAAAAGGAGTATAAAACAGCAGCAGCTGTACTTTGAGATTGCTTTTAATATTGACAGCCTTTTGGTTTTAACAATGCAACTTTTATTGTCCAGCAACTAAGGTAATGTCTTTATTCTGGCAAACATTCTTAAACAGCATTTTAAGGTACAGGTCTGTTTTTAAATGAGGGATCAGTTAATTTATTAATAGTTTACCACGTGTTTATTTGAGATTTAAAATGAATCAATAAGTATCCCAAAAAGTAATTACTAGGATCATTTGTAACTCAATCTTCAACCACAGAATTTCCCTCTGTATCATAGCCTCTTTCTCTGAAGTAGATACCAAGACAGCACTGAATGGAAACACAAAGGTGATTTGTATCAACTTTTGGCAGGGCTTGGTTTTAGTTCTGTGATTCAGGAAGATATGGAAATAGTTTTAAGAGTCAGATAAATTATCATTTACATAGATAAGAAAGGCTACAGAAGATTTACAGAGATCAAGTTGATTGGAAGACTTAGTTGGCAGATTAGACAAGACAGCCAAGGAGCATAGAAATGCTCATTTTCTACTGCATTGCCTCCAGAAAGTTCACCTTGATGAAAACTCAATCCCGCAAGGTAATTGATTCAATTCCTGTGAATGTCAACAGCAAGAGGTGCACAGCATCTCATAACTTTGCCTCAAATGAAATTTCAAGCTACACACCACCAGCAGGTTTCTATCAACAGCAACCGCCCTGGTATAGGGTAACGAACCAACAAATGTTTTTCTTGTTTCTTTTAGAACTTAACTGCTCATTTCTATAAAACAACTCCTCTCATACAGAGTAGTCTACTTAGCACATTATGTCCCTGATTATCAACATTCTCGACACAAGAAATTTTATTTCCTTTGTAATTTCCTTATAAAACTGTTCTCCTCCAACCAAAGGGGCCTGATGTAACACTGACACAGTATTCCAACTACTGACTTACGTGGAGTTCTTCTAACTTGTGCATGTGTGAGAACACCCCTGAAGGGTTTGAGAGTTACAGACCTGTTACCAAAGGCACCGCATCCAGCATTTATGAAGTGTGCCTACAAATTAAGGGTGCCCAAGACTAGAGAAATATATGGAAGGCCACCAGATACATGCCAAGGGTCACAGCATTTTACCAGATAAGTTTCAGATTTCTTTTTCAGAGCACACATGTCATACAACTAAAAATCAAGGCATGCTGGGTACACATCCTCACAAAAACATCACATGACAATAGATCTTAGGAAATTAAAAACTTACCAGTCTCTCCTCTTCTTCCCCGCTTACCTCTTTTCCCTGGAGGACCTAAAAAGAAGATGGTGGATAGTAACTTTTCCCCTTGAAATTACATGTAGAATATAATTTGTTCGGTTGTAAGGGCTTTAGGCTGATGTTCTACATGAAGTCCAGAGAGTTTCGCTCAGCAGAGGTAAAAGATAACCCCAATAAGATTTAAGAAGTTTCTGATAAATTTAACAGCTATTGTACCCACTACAGACTCCCTGAAAAAAGGCTGGGAGAAACTTTAGGAGTCATCCAGTTCATCCCTCTTTTTCAAGGAAAAAGTTAACTGCATCTAAATTTTTATTACAACTTCCACAGGCTTTTTCTCCCCCCCAATACTTCACTGTTCTGACAAGTGGAACATTTTTCTTTATGCCACACTTGCTGCACTGAAGCCCATCAATTCTCATGCTTTCCACCATAAGCCCAGTTGAAGAAATTGTTCCTTTTCTTCTCTCAAAATCATCTTTGTATTCCTCAGAATTACTACACCGTTCCTTCAGTCATTTTAAACCAAATATGTTGTGGGACATTAAGTTTTATAAAATTATTCTGCATTAAGTCAAAAGATTAGTATTTATTTGTAAGACTAAATCCTCTGGAATTTGCTTTCAGCCTCTATCTGAAAACATGCAAGAGATGAAGAAATCATCACCTGGCTTGCCATCCCCCAAACATTTAACAACAATGTACATGTTGCCAGACCCAGTGCTTTGCCTCCAGTTTGTATTTGTTTATTTGTCAGCCAACACAATGGCTGAGTCACGGTATGCTTTTTGCTGAGAAATCTTTACTTCTCATTGTCCTTTGTCACAAATATTTACATATTAAAACCAGCTTCTGATGTCACCTCTGGGGAAAAAAAGGGAAAAAACCTTTTTCTCCCTCATTTCTGCCTTCAGTATCTTTTTACAAAACCTGCAGATCTCAGATGTCAGACTGCAGATAGTTTCCCCCCTCTTCTTGGTAACCTTGACATACTGCTCCTGAAAGTGCCAGGACAGCACACTTGCACTTCTCCATGTACAGCTTGGAGGAGAAACAGCAGCTGTGGGGGTGACACAAGTCCTGAAACTTGGCTGCTCTGCAAAGAGAACCACAGGTGGGACTCTGAGAGCTGCAGAAGAGAGGCGAGCGCACGGGTGGAATTTCCAGAAGCAGCGACGCGTGCAGGAGCACAAGTACCTCTGCTGTGGCTGTATCTCACCGTTTGTAATAGATACGAGATGCACAGGTGGCTTTGTGCAAATGGCCTGCTACTTCAAACTTTAAAAATCATCTGAAACATCATGCCATAGCTTTAAAATAGCTTTGCATTATATATTTGCAGCAATCTGGCTAAAAAGACTAAGATGCTGAAAAGCAGCATTACTGAAACAATTTCAAGACACATATGAAACTGCATTAATTCTACATGAATTAATGAATAAAATACTATTGCTTTATAAAGGAAGAGGGAAGAAGAGAAGAAAATAGAAAGGAGAAGTGAGGGTAGAAAGGAGGATAAAGGAGAAGGAAGAATATAGCTTGAAAAGTAGCTTTGTCTTGAATGTAGAGAGGTTTATTCCTATCAGAACATTATAAATTTGAATAAAATCCTTGTCTGTTCCAATAATTACAGTAGTTGCATGATGCAACAGAAGTTTAAGACAACAATATCATACAAGGCAAGAATGCCATGGGATGTTCAGAATCAGTAAAAGGAATACTCTGGAACCATGAAAAATAGCAAAAGTGTCATTTAAATATGGGAGAATCTTGCAACTTCCTCCTTCAAGGGATATCTAGAGAAGCTTCTCACACAGGGAACAGCATGTTACAGACATGTAAGTTTTGATATTGCATATCCTTTTTTCTCCCCACAACACCAAAACTTCTTAGAGTTCCCCTGCACACACACAGTCCTACAGAGTTCCTCTGTGGAGATTTCCTGGGCTGTACCCAGGCTCACAACACAGATGTAGAGCAATTTGGACTCAAAATGAACATGGATGTGCAGGAGAAACTAAGAATCTTCTTCTCCAGGTAATGACATGTCATTGTGCTTATAGCAATAACATTCTCCTAAACAGGGTGGTGATACTTTATTAAAATTCAACTGTGCTATAGGTGTGCACACACACAAACAAGTCCACTACCAGGTTTGCTTTTGAGAAAGGAACAGCACTTGGAAATTAAAAATTTTGGCTACACACCAGCAAAACACATTAAAGTCACCAAGAGAAAATGCTGAAGGTCACTTCATGCTATGAATTTTGGGAAGGAATGAAATCTGTCCAGAAAACCGGACTTCCATAGAGCACTATGTTGCTAGTTTAGCTGTATATAGGGACAGCAAAAAAACTGCTCCAGTTCAGCTCTTTCCTTTGTCATCAAATGCTGATCCCTTCTAAGATGTCATTCTAAGATTATTAGATTGAAATGTGTGAATTGTCAGAAAAATTACTGTTATTATTATGTTTCTAAAGTAACCACACTGCTGAGGTTAGAAAATTACTCTGGACTTAGACCAATATTAATGAAACCATACCACTACCCCTAACCATCAGACCAGCAGTATTTCAGGGCCACTGAGTGACACGTGTATCTTCTCTCTCTTATTAAAACGTTTTTGATTTGTGCACTATTCAAGTCTGTCAAGGTGGTGGCATTTGCAAAACTCTAATTGTGAGATGAGAGATGAATCTTGCAAACTTCTACTAGATTTTGGTGACCATTTGAGGAAGTAGGTTCTGTATATTTATGTATTTGCTTACTTTTTACCAATACAAACTAATTCATTTTAAACAGTTTACCACAGATGGTTTCAATTCACAGAAAGCGAACTCTGAAATTTATGGCCATCTCTAGGTGACCTACTGCTTCAGAAAGTACACAAGCTTTCATGTTTTCCTGAACAGGCTGCTTTCTCTAAACTTGACTGCTAACATATCATCTGTAGCTGCAAGTGTTCCAAGCTATCAAAACCTTGGGCATTTTTCTATAAATATTAATTTTCCATCTGTCTATAATTTTTTAAATTTGCACTAATTGGAGGATTTGGTGGAGACTCATCACAGCAGAAGGAGAAGTAAATAAAGCTGTATTATGGACAATGTCAGCTTACATGAAGTCCACAGATTTTTATAGCTTGCACAAAACACTCAACATGACACAACTACTCTGAACTTTCCTGCCTAGGCTAAAAAAAAAAAAGTCTCTTCAAGTGTATCAGAAATGTCTATGCTGAACTGAATTTATTCCAGAGTATTTTAAGGGTATTTTATACATTTTCATATTAAAAATAGAAATACTAGGAAGAAAAATAGGAGTTTGAATCTCAGTGGAGTGAGTTGAGTTAATAAACACTAATGATACTGAGCAATAAGCAAAAGCTTGTTTATAGTAGTCGACTTTGGCTAAACACTGTTTTTCCAGGATCACTACATTTACCCACCTGTAGGGAGCAAGAATAAAAGGTCAGACCACGTGGTTTTCCTTTTCAACTTAATTTAGTTGAATTATATCTGAAATTATATTCTTAGATCTGAAAAATATCTGAAATTATTTTATTCTTCCAAAACCATTTAAGAAACTAATTCTTATCAATAGAAAATTTAGAAAGAATATTTTTCCATTCAATTAAAAAAACTAATGCCACTGCTATGCCATATTTATGGAGAGAATTTTGGAAATGAAAGGAACTAAAGCTAATTGAAACTAAAAGTAAATTATTTATCTAAATTTATCTTCTCGAGTACAAAATGTCAGCCACTCAAAAAGTAGCTCTTACCTACCATAAGACTCTTTCAAACAAACAAAAAACCCTCCCACACTGCACAAAATGGACAAAACCACCCATACTCTTTTAATTTATCAATATTTCTACAGAAAAAAAAAAAAAATCTACATTTCAAAAACAGCAGACCGAAAGAAAAAAAAAAAGGCAAAACCCCACCACATTTGGTGGGTGAGACATAGAGTTCCTCTATCAGCACCTGCCAGGAACATCAAATGCTTGGTCATTTGGTCACCCGCTGATCTAGAATGTCAGGTTTCTCCTAAGTTTGGAAACAATTACTGTGGCATTATCAAATCAAAAGAAACATCTTCCAGAAGCTATTCATTGTTATTTCAAGTAAGAGCTACACCAAACTATGCACCAACCTAAGAATAACAGCAGAGCTCAGAACCCTGCTCCCTCTTTTACTGACGCCCAGCACATCACTCATATGTTGTTTCATACCTAGATGCAGCTACTGTTGAAGGTTACAAGTATTCCATGTGCACCTGAGAAAAACAATATTTTCCTGGCTATTTCAAAGGACATCCCATTTTACATGAAGGTCACAACAACACAGAATTTTTGCCTGTCAAGTCAGAAAAAAATGAATTAACACAACCACGTTCTCAAAATAAATCTTGAGTTACTTTGCTGAAGGTTGTAGAACTCAGTATTGTCAGTCATGAAACTGTCAGCCTTGCTGAAATCATCTGGATTAAAATATCCAGAAATCAGCTGAACTATACCAATCAAACCATCCTGTCTGATTCAACTCTGACACTGGTAAAGTAACTGCTATTGGTTGCATTTCAAGTTCCATCACTCCAAGGTGTAAATGGATCCAACTCTTTCCTTTCCGCTTCCAAAGTACAACCCAGCTGTCATAATTTTATCCCACTTCACATTTCTGCCTGTCAAACTGACTCAGGAAGGAGCAGGGCACTGAAGGGAGCCAACCCCTCACTACTCATAGGGAGAGGAGAGCCCCCCCAGCAAACTGGCACCTCTGCCTCAGAGCTGTGGGGCACCAGCTCTGCAGGTAGGGAGCAGAGCAGAGCAGCAGCTGCTGAGCCTGACACCTCCTCCCGTGAAATACCCATGCCATGAGCAGTGTGGTGGCTCCAGGGAATGCTGTCTGAGTGCCCCATCCTGCCAGCCTCCACCTGTCAGGATGGTCACCATCTCCAGCAAACAGCACCGAAACATCCCAGTGGGCTGAACACACACCCAGTGGATGTCTGCCTGGGCAGCCTGACAT